TAGACACCTGCGTGACCGCCGTGACTGCCGTGACTCACGGTCACGGTCACGGTTACGGTCACGATCGTGACCGATTTGTAAAAACAAATCGTGACCGTGACGTGATCGTGACCAGAACCTGATCACGGTCAGTCACGACAAATTTTTTATGTAGACATATGACGCGTATTTTTTAAATTTCCTCAGATAATTAAATATTTCATCATGTTTATTATTCTTTCAATAAATATCAATGTCTTTTTTCTAATTCAAAACAAACAAATATAATCAATACACACTCATAATACCAGAAAACATACATACATTATAAATATATTTTAGCGAGACTACATAAAAGTATTTTGAAAAAAAATGTACTACTAAAACATATTTTCTTTTTCTTCAATAAGAATGTCATCATTTTCATCTACTTTTTGTTTTTTACTATTTCCATCAGATGATTTATTTGATGATTGATCATTCTTTCGTTTCTCTTGATTTTATTCCTTGTCACCCGTTTGGTTATCAAATATAGCTTTAAGAATATTAAGATTTTTTCTTAAAAACATTAATTTATTTATCTTTTCCATTCCTAATCTTGTTCGTTTATCTGTTATAGTATATTTAGAAATGGAAAACAATCTCTCGACTGTCGTGTTTGATGCAGGAATAGCAAAAATGTCACGTACGATGGTTGAAATGATAGGAAAAGATTGATTATGATATGACCAAAATCCCAAGATATCATCATTTTCTTCATCATCTATTGTTAAAGTCGAAGACATCCATGAAGAAAATTTATCAACAGTAGATGTTGGTGATCGAGGATCATCAAAACATAAGGATAAAAGATTTTTTTTTCGTATTTCTGTTGTTTTCTTTTCTGATGATGATGTCAGAGCAGACATCGTAATTGATGTAGAAGATGAATCAAATGAAGATGATGATTGATTTGCTGTTGTACGTTTGTGAATTTCTTTTTGAAGTACTTGCATTGCTCTACTTTTATCAGATGGATTTTTATCAAAATGTTTGAGTTGTGGATGAAGGATGGTGGCTAGTAAATGTTCATCTTGAGGTATCCACATGGTCACAGACTGTTCAAGTATTATCTGATTACTAAGCAATAGGGTTAATTTTTTTTCTTACAGGATTACCTAAACGCTCAAGAACCCTCGAAAGTTATGCTTCGACATAATTATATTATTTTTATTACTCCCACAGATACTGACGATCTAATACGGAAACAGCTCCTTTTATTTGATCATCTAAACGAAAATAAAAAGATTACTGTAGTGCACTTGAATGCGAAAAGATCTGCTCGATCTAAAATACATGAAAATATCAATGCGGGTAA